AGGACCGCAAGAACCGCTACATGTGGGTGAGGCCGGTCGCCAAGAAGTCGGATGTGCTGCTGGAGTTCCAAAAGTGGCTAGTGTTGGTGGAGAGGCAGGTGAAGAAGTCGGTGCTGATGCTGCGCTCAGACTGAGGAGGGGAGTTCCTCGGGAAGAAGTTCACCGACTTCGTGGATGGCAATGTTATCATCCACGACCTTACCTGCCCGTACACCCCACAGCAGAACGGCATGGCGGAGCGGGAGATGAGGACGGTGGTGGAGTCGGTGCAGATGATGCTGCTGCACATGGGCGTGCAGCACCAATGGTGGCACCTCGCTCTGCGGCAGGCCGTTTGGGTCTGCAACTACCTTGAGAGATTGATGCTGCCCTCAGGTACAACGCCGTACCAGCTGCTCACCAGGCAGAAGCCCGGCGTGTCGTTGGCATGGGTGTGGGGCTGCATGGCACAGTTCTTTGTCCCGGAGCAGCAGCGTGGTGGGAAGCTGCAGCCGAAGGCCAGGTGGGGCCTTCACCTCGGCGTATCAAAGGAGAGCAAGGGCTGGGAGCTCCTTGACATCGACGCCAACCGGGTGGTCATCACGTCGGACGTGGTGTTCTACGAAGATATGTCGCTGGAGGTGTGGAAGTCAGAGCACGGGCTAGTGTCAGGTCGGACGCCGACCACCCCGCCGACTGATACCTTGATAGCAACGCTGCCTCTGCTCGCCGAGGTCGATGAGCTTGCTGATGAGGACGTTGAGGTCGTCCGTCCTCCTTTACCTTCCCCTACGACCCCTGCCCCTCCCCTCGTGGCCGACCTTCGCGGCCGAACTCCTGTGTCGGCCTCCGGCGATGAGGGGAGTAGTGGGACGTTGCCTTCGACGCCAGCCAAGGGCATCGCTGGTGGCCGACGTGACGAGTGGCAAGTCGACGATGGGGAAAAGCAGGTCAAGGAGGAGGAGCCGACTTGGGTGAAGCCGGCGAAGAAGGCACCAGCAAGGCAGCAGCCGATAGGGGAGCAGGGAGCGGTGACGCCGACCACGAAGCAGTCAGCAACCAGGCAGTCAGTAGAGGAGTTGACCATAGGGGAGAGGTCAACCAAGAAGTCGACCGAGGTGCACCAGGACGACGAGGTCAGTGAAGTCGGTGACGTGGGAGGGTGACGAGAAGTGAGAATGGATGAATGAACTATGAAAGAGTTGGGTACAAGTAATAACCCTAATTGGGTTGTACCCCTTATGGGCTACCCCACTACAGCCTACACAAATGTTTAAGCTATAATTTTCTGACACACCCCCATAGGCAAAATGGGGGAGAACAAGTGGTCACAAGACCAGTCAAGCAAAGCAAGCTCAGGGTGGATCACAAAGTCACCACACAGTCCGAGCACAAGAGTAAGGCCACAAGGCCAGTTCATATGCAAGGTCATATATATAAAGGTAAACAAGCAAGGGCAGGTATAGAAAGAATACAGTACAAACAAGATCAAGAAGTGAGCAAGTAAGGCCAGGTAGGCACAAGACCTAGCAAAGTACAGAAGCGCTGATCATCACAAGGCGGAAGGGCCTTGGTGAAGATATCAGCAGTGTTGACCTCAGAGGAAATGTAGGTGAGGCGGAGCTGACCACGCTGCTGCAACTCACGAGCCAGAAAGTAGCAGAGAGCAATGTGCTTCGTTCTGTGCTCCAGTCTGTGCTCCCGACACAAGGCCAGCATGGCCTTGTTGTCTACGTACAGAACTGGAGGAGAACGAGGCGGCTCTCCTAGGTCAGTCAGCAGGTAGGTGAGCCAGCATAGCTCCTGTGCAGCCATGGCCCCAGCGTAGATCTCAGCCTCACAGCTGGAGCTGAGAACAGAAGACGAGCAGGTAGACCGCCACGAAACAGAGCCAGAGCCAAGCCTGAAGGTGTAACCTTGTGACGACCCCAGCAGAGCCTGGTCGTCAGCCCAAGAAGCGTCAGCGTGACCTGTGAGGACTACTCGACGTTGCCCTCCAAGCACTAGCCCCATGCCCGACGTAGTGCACACGTAGTGCAACACCCTCTTCGCTTCAGCCATGTGCTCTGGTCTATGTCTCCCACGAGCAACATAGCGTGCTAAGATGATAAGAGGGTATGCAAGGTCAGGTCGTGTGCAAGTCATCAGGTACATGAGGCAGCCAACAAGCTCTGGGTACGAGCCACTCGACTCTACGGACTCATCCGAAGGCAGAGCTGAGAGCGAGTGGCGAGTAGACAGAGGAGTAGCCTGAGGCGAGGTGTACGTGAAGCCGAAGCGTTGAAGGACCTGCTGCACCATGTATGACTGAGTCAGCGTAATGGTGCGCTGTGCTCTGTCCCGGGTGATCTGCAAGCCAAGGTAGCTGCGCAGTTCACCCAGGTCTGTGCACGTGTGTCTCTTCTGCAGCTCGGACTTCACGTGGGCGAGTCCAGCAGTGTCAATAGTGGTAAAGACCAAGTCGTCGACGTACACGAGGATGTAGAACGGCGGCAAAGAAGTGTCGGTGCGCAGAAACAGCGACGGGTCGGCTATAGAAGGAGCAAATCCAAAAGCCGCAAGAATAGTCCTTAGTGTGTCGTGCCACTCACGGGGCACCTCGCGGAGATCGTAGACTGGCCGCCGGAGGCTCCACTGGGTACCAGGAGGAAACTATCCAGTGAAGCCAGGTGGGCGGCGCAGCCAGATCTCCTCGTGCAGGCTGCCCTGCAAGAGAGATGTGCTCAAGTCAAGAGAGTGAAGCTCGTAGTCGCGCTGAGCGGCTATGTGCAGCAGCACCCGAAGAGTGGTCATCTTTGGGGTGGGAGAGAAGGTCTGAAAGAATTCAACTCCTTGCTGCTGACTGAAGCCTTGAGCCACGTAACACGCCTTGAAGACATGCGGAGAACCTAGCGGCCGCTTCACCCTGAAAGTCCACATCCCACTGACGATGTTCGCCCTAGGTGGGGGAACCTTGTCGACGTAGGTGCCTGTGGACTTCCAAGAAGCCATTTCTGCGTCCATGGCCGACTGACACTGAGAGGAGTAGGGACCCTCGATCGCCTCAGCGTACGATCGAGGAGTCGGGATGTCTGGTGCATCCAGGTCTCCCTCAGGGGCAATGCGCGGACACGAGATGGGGCAAAGCAGCAGCAAAGCACTGGAACTCCTCGTGCCTGTCCTCAAGGACGTCCGTGCTAAGAGCAGACTCACCCCCGACGGACGGAGGACAGACAGACTCAGATTCAGCAACAAGACTGGCAGCGTAGTCTAGACAACAGCGAGCAGCAAAGTCGACAAGCTCAGCAACTAGGGCAGACGCAGCAGTGGACTCAAAGGAAGGGTCAGTGACAACACTAGAAAGAAGGCGCGTGACCGAAGGACTAGCAGCACAAAGGGAGTCAGACTCTGGGTCAGCAAGAGAAGGAAGAGAGGAGAAGTGGAAGGACACAATGCCATCTGGTGTGTGCGAGGGACCGCAGGAGGACACGGACCCGTAGCATGATGACTAGTGCCAGCAGCACGAACAGGCGACACAGGACGAGACGCAGGCTCACGACGCTCAGCAAGACCTCCAGTAGGACCAATGTAGGGAGAAGGAGCAGGTAGCAGAGAGGCAGGCTGTAACTATGACTACGAATGGAGAGGCTGTGAACACTCTAAGGGAGGAGCAGGACCAGGAGAGGGCGGGAGACCAAGAACCTGCTCCACGAGCGGAACGAAGTACGACCTCGGCTGCTCAGCGCCTCCAGAACCAGCAGGGACGGCACCAGTACCCCCAGCGGCAGCACCAGCGCCAGCAGCACCTCCAGCTCCAACAGCGCCAACTCCAGTGCCCTCAAAAGCACCAGCGACAGCAGCACCGCCACCGCCAACACCCCCAGCAGCTCCAGCTTCAGCAGCACCAACTCCAGTAGGACCGTCAGCACCAGCAGCCTCAGCAGCACCCCCAGACGTACCAGCACCAGTAGAAACACCAGTGCCAACACCCCCAGCAGCTCCACCTCCAGCAGCACCAGCACCGACAGCAGCTCCAGCAGGACCAACTCTAGTAGCTCCAGCAGTGACCCCAGAATCAGCGGCACGTCTCCAGCGGCGGGCGAACCACTCGCGCAGCTCCTATGGAGAGAGCGGCTCCTGCCTCGACGAAGCACCGCCGGTGGCCACACGAGTAGACCCAACACCCCCTGGCTCTGCACCCCCAGGCTTAGCACCTCCAGGCTCAGCACCCCCAGGCTCAGCACCCCAAGACTCAGCACCCCCAGGCTCAGTATCCCCAGTCTAAGCACCCCCAGACCTAGCACCCCCTGACCCGGCACCCGAAGGCTCAGCACCTCTAGCAGCACCAGAGTCAACAGCTAGCTCGACAGGCTCGACTGCGTCTACCTGGGACACACCTGCCGGAGCAGGACCCTGAGGAGGGAGGGGGTCTACTTGGGGAGGACCTAGCGCAAGGAAGAGCGGTGGCGGGGGGGGGGGGGGGGGGGGGGGGGCAGTGCGGTAGGGGAAGAGACGGTAGTAAGGCACCGACTCGTCAAAGGTGACGTCCTGGGAAGATAGAACACGACGCGAGGTGGGGTGGTAGAACTGCCACCCAGTCGCGTAAGGGGGGAAGCCAAGGAAGACGCAAGGAATAGCACGGGGGGACTTGTCCGAAGACAAGTCGCAGACAAACGCCCGAGATCCCCAGACCCGAAACGCAGACGCATCACCAATCTTCCCTGTCCACCGCAAGGCGGGGGAGGTCTCTGGCAAGGAGACTCAGGGCTAAAGGTTGAGCTGATGCGCGGTGTACTGAACCGCAAACGGCCACAGAAAATGGGGGGCAGCCGCATGCATCATGGACGTACGAGCGACGTCCATGACCATGCCAATGTGGCGCTCAGCAATCCCATTTTGCTTTGGAGAGGCCGGAAGCGTGAAGGTCTGGCGGATGCCCTGTGCACGACAGAAGGCTCCCAGAGAGGCAGAGGAAAACTCCCCGCCTCTGTCCGAGTGTAGACGTAGAACAGGAAAGTCCGAGCCGAAACTCTCTCTCTGAGCTAGAGACGAGCTGCGCGGATCCACTCAATCAACACCTCAGTGACGTCACCCTTGCTGCGCAAGGGGAAGACTGTGGTGTAACGCGAGTAGTCACCAACGACCAGCAGAAAGTACCGCTCTCCCCCCTTCCCACTGACGCGGGCTCGGCCCCACACGTCCATGTGTAGCGTCTGCTGCGGAGCCTCTGTCGAAGGAAACTCGGAGGAGTGAGGGGCGGCTCGCTGTCGCCCCTCGACGCAGGGGACGCAGGTAGGGCCAGGCCCCGGAGAAGGGGAGGGAGAGACTGAGGAAGACCAGAAACAAGGAAACGGGGGGCCATGCCTCTAGACGAGGCAGGGAGGGGTGACCAAGGCGGTGGTGGCAAAGGAGAGTCTGGTGGTACAGCAGACGACACGAGTAAGGAGTAGACTCAGGACCAGACCTGGACGCTGCAGCAAACACCTGACTCGACGCAGCTACCTGGGCAGACTCATCAGCAGGAGGAGACTCAGTAATAAGGGTGTACAGGCTCGACCCTGGCCTGCGGGTGAACGTGGCCAAGTGTCGGCCTGTCCGAGCGCAGTGCAGTGGGTCACCCGCTGACTCGCAGGAGTGAACTGGTCGACCCCCTTATACTGTAGGTCAGCTCCACTCACCAAGTTCGTAGAGAACGAGGGGAGGTAGAGACCAGACAGGGTGCCAGAGGGGGCTGCAGGGCATGGAAGGACAGTGGACAAGCTGGCAAGGACAGGACCCCCAGAGGGGTCTGCAAGGGAGACTGCAACCGGCCGACTGAGCGGCGTAAGAGTGGTGCGGTCTCGAAAGAAGGAGCGGGACGCACCCGAGTTCTAGGTGAAGGTGTGGAAGGCGTGAGCCGACGCAGTACCTGAGAGAGCAGACTCACCAGCACCTGGGGCAGAAGACGCACTAGCACCTAGAGCAGCAGTCTCATTAGCACCCAGAGCAGTGGCCTCGATGAGCGGGTCAGGCGGTACACACAGGTAACAGGCACCCTCAACACTAGTATCAACAGCATACATGGCAGCAAGGGTAGCATCAAAGTCAAGATCAAAGATAGCAACCCCGGCCTTAGCCAGATCTCCGCAGCGAGGGATCTCTGAGGCCTCAGGGAACTGGCGACGCCACGCGTCCGTCAGGCGACCAAAGCAGCGCTGGGTGGAGTGCGGGCCTCCGCACTGCTCACCAGCGCGGTCACCGGTACGGAGGACGTAAGAGCAGGGACCAAAACCCCCACCGCGCTGGCGCGCAGTGTACCACTCACGAAGCTGCTGAGGGGACAGGGTCACACCACTCCGCAACTGCTGCTGTCGCTGACCACCACCTGCGCTACTCCTCTGTGCAGAGTCGCGACTCTCTCCACCACCGCCGCCTCCTCCGCCGCCGCCACCTCCGCCGCCTCCGCAGCCTCCTCCACCTCCGCCTCCTCCGCCACCTCCGCCTCCTCCACTCCTTCCGCCACCTACACCGCCTCCGCCGCCTCCACTGCTGCCGGCGCCGCTGCCACCCCCCGCACCACTCCCACCACCACCCCCACTCCCTCCACCGCCTCCACCACCACCTCCACCGCCCCCTCCAGCCCCTCCAGTGCCCTTGCCCCCCTTGCCCTTGCCGGTGCGGCGTCTCCCGCTTGGGACAAACGCAGCGCCGACCGACTCAAAACCAACGAGGTCGACCGCAGCAGTAGAGGCAATAGAAAGCAAGAGGGGGGGGGGGGGGGGGAGAACACCCCTCAAACACGGGGGTGCGAGGGTCACCACGAGAGGCTCCTACAGCGACTATGCTCTATCGCTAGGAGGGCCTTCTCGAGGAGGTCAACGGTGAGAGTGGTGGGGTAAACAGAGAGGAAGTGGTCCCTGACTACCCGAATAGAGTCACGGAGCCGGGTGACTATGTAGTAGAGGGTGATGTACATGGGGGGGGGGGGGGGGGTTCTTGGCGCAGAACTCAGCAAGAAGCGCAGCGCGGTAGCGAGTGTTACTAGTGCGGAGGTGCGTAATGAGGTCTACGACAGTGGGAAAGGCAGCAAGGTCAGGGAAGAGGTACGGTAGCATGAGGCGGCTCAGTGCAGCTGTGGCAGGGGAAGAGTAGCGTGCAACTACAGCGTTGTACAAGGTCTGAGCACTCTTGTACTGGCTAAAGTGTGCACGCTCAGTGGTCGGTAAGTGACGGCGCACAACAAGGTGAGCAGCAACATCACATGTGGCCCACTCTGAGCGAATAGTGGCGTCAGCATCAGCAGTAGGGGCAGGGGAGGCACCACAAGTGAGGTCAAATAGGGAGAGGCCGTCTGCCCTATCGCACTGCAGGAAAAGCTGCAGATCATCTACCCAGACCTCAAAGTTCACTGTCCGACCCTCATCGTCAAAGGTGAGAACGCTAGGGGAGGCCATATTAGCAGTAGGCAGGCAATGAGTACAGTGGGGCAGGGCAGTGCAGTGGCAGAGACTATGCTCTTACCTGGCAAGTGGGGCGATCGGGCTGCTCGGCTCGGCTGTCGAGCGGCTCGGCTGCACGGTGCTTGGCGACTCGGCTGTCGGGCGGCTAGGCTCCTGGGCGGCTTGGCTGCACGGTGCTGGGCGGCTCGGCTGTCGGTCGGCTCTGCTGCTGGGCGGCTCGACGGTCGGGCGGCTCGGTTGTTGGGCGGCTCGGCGGTCGGGTGGTAGTGCGGCTCAGCTGGCCGGCGGTTCGGCTGCTCAGCGCTGCGGGCGCTGGGCGGCGGGGCCGCAGGTGGCGGCGAGGCCGCAGGTGGCGGCGGGGCCTTAGGTGGCGGCGGGCCGCAAGGGTGGGCGGGGCCGCAGGTGCCGACGGGGCCGAAGTGGGCGACGGGGCCGCAAGGGTGGGCGGGGCCGCAGGTGGTGATGGGGCCGAAGTGGGCGACGGGGCCGCAAGGGTGGGCGGGGCCGCAGGTGCTGACGGGGCCGAAGTGGGCGACGGGGCCGCAAGGGTGGGAGGGGCCGCAGGTGGCGACGGAGTCGCAGTGGTCAACGGGGCCGCAGGTGGCGACGGGGCCGTAAAGGGGCCGTTGAGGGGCCGTAAAGGGGCCAAAGCGGGGCCATCAAGGGGCCTGGGCAGGGCCGCGGAGGGGCCTAGGCGGGGCCGTAAAGGGCCCGTAAGGGGCCAGACGGGGCCGCGAAGGGGGGGGGGCCTAGGCGGGGCCGCGAAGAGGCCGGAAGGGGCCGTAAGGGGCCCGACGGGGCCTAAGCGGGGCCACGGAGGGGCCGTAAGGGGCCTAGGCGAGGCCGTAAGGGGCACGATGGGGCCGCGGAGGGGCCTAAGCGGGGCCGCGACGAGGCCGTAAGGGGCCTAAGCGGGGCCGCTACGGGGCCGTAAGGGGCCTAAGCGGGGCCGCGATGGGGCCGTGAGGGGCCTAAGCGGGGCCGCGACGGGGTCGTAAGGGGCCTAAGCGGGGCCGCGACGGGGTCGTAAGGGGCCAGACAGGGCCGTAGAAGGCGGCGCGAGGGGCCGTAAGGGCGACCAAAGAGGGCCACTAAGGCGGCTCGAGGCGCTACTCGGATTAGGAGCGAAGCGCGCTCCGGGCAGGGAAGAAAAAAAAAGTTCGTGGTGGGCCCTAGGCAGTATTCCCACTCGGGAACCTGCTCGATACCATGACGAGAAGTGAGAATGGATGAATGAACAATGAAAGAGTTGGGTACAAGTACTAACCCTAATTGGGTTGTACCCCTTATGGGCTACCCCACTACAGCCTACACAAATGTATAACCTATAATGTTCTGATAGAGGGGACGCCGGGGAGTCCACCAAGAGTGACGTGCTGGAGGTTTGGCCTGAACCCCGGAAGTCGGACAGACTTCAGAGGCCACCGGACTTCTTCGGCCCCGCTGCTTTCACTACGGTGTACGACGTGGACAAAGAAGACATGGCGTATGATGATGCCGAGGAGGATGAGGAGTTTCCGTAGCTCGACCCCAACATGCATGCCGACCCTGAGCACCGTTGGGACATCGCGACGATGATGGTGAAGGAGGCGTTGGCAAGCTGGAAGGGCCAGGCGATGAAGGCTGCCATGGAGGAGGAGATCCGCAGCCTCATCAACATGGGAAATTGGGAGCTCGTGGAACGCCCGCCGGGAGTCAACATCATGAAAAACTGGTGGGTGTTGACAACAAAGTACCACATCGATGACACCGTCGAGCGCGAGAAGGCGAGGCTGGTCGTGAAGGGCTTCACGCAAGTGTACGGCACCGACTACAACGAGACGTTCGCGCCGGTGGGCAGCTACGTCACGCTGAGGATCTTCCTCAGCATCGTCGCCGTCCTCAACCTCAACCTGATGCAGCTCGACATGAAGAACGCCTTCCTGCTGAGCAAGCTCGACAGGGTGCTGTACATGTCTCAGTCGGACTACTTCAATGACGGAACCGGCCGGGTGTGCAAGCTGCTGAAGAGCCTGTACGGGCTGAAGGAGTCGCCGCTGCTGTGGTACTTGGCGCTCAGATGTGCTGGTCGGCGCCACGTGGAAGAAGAGCCAGGTCGACGAGGCTCTGTACTTCAAGGTCGGCGACAACAGAGTAGCCTGCTGGGTGCTGGTCTACGTCGATGACCTGCTCGCTGCCAGCAGCAGCACTGGGATGCTGAAGGAGCTGCTGGCGTCCGCCTTCGAGCTGCGGGAGATCTCGCCGGTGCGGAAGTACCTCGGGCTGGAGATCGTTTGCGATAAGTTGGCGGTGAAGCTCTAGCTGCACCAGCACGGCTACGCTGACAACCTGCGTAGTCGCTTCATCGATGAGGAGCAGACCGGGCGCACCCCGAAGACGCTGGTTTCGGTCGACGTCTACGCTGAGCTCACCTTCGATGACGAGGAGGCACACGAGTGACACGAGGAGGAGTACCAGTAGAAGGTCGGCTTGCTGCAGTTCGCGGCGACGACGACGAGGCCGGACATCGCATTCACGTGCTACAAGCTGGGGAGCGGCCTCACGGTGAGGAGCGACCAGCAGTGGCGCGAGGTCGACCGCTGCCTCACCTACCTCGCCAACATGCGTGACACCGCCCTGGAGTTCGGCGATGGACCTGAGTCGCTGGAGCTGATCGGCTACTTGGTCGCCGACGACGCCGGTGAGAAGCAGAACAGGCCGAGCATGGGCGGCTATGTGTTCATCTACGGAGGGGCCACAATCTCCTAGTCGAGCCAGCGCATCAAGTGCGTGACGTTGTCGTCGACCGAGTTGGAGTACGTGGCGGCCACCGGAGCCGGCATGGAGGGACGCCGACTGCGCTTCCTCCTTGGAGAGTTCCGGCAGCTGGATGCTGGGGAGTCGACCATTCTTCGGGTGGACAACAAGTCGGCCATCACAGTCACCGAGGGCATGGGGTTGACGGGCAATCTCAAACACATGGAGCGGCGATAGGCCTGGCTGCAGCACACGGTGAGGCGCGGGAAGTTCTCGCTGAGGTACATCCCGAACACCGAGCAGCCGGCCAACTTCCTGACGAAGGCGCTACACTATCCGGCCTTCAACTTGTGCTCTGCCACCATCGGCCAGGTGCGCTTGGCCGACGTGGGTGACGAAGATGACGACGTGCAGCAGTGGGTGACATGCCCTCTTGCATGGCTGGTGCAGTGGATGACGTGCTGTGTGTTGGGTGCACGTCGACGAGCTCGTCTCTCAGGAGTACTGCCGTGTAGCATGGGAGCCCAAGCGTGAACGCGGCAGGGGAGTGTCAACGGGGAGTTGTGTGTTGGCCCCGTCCACGCTTGGGCGGAGTCGTGTAAGTGGAGCAGCCGACTTGCAGGAGTGGGCCAGCTTGTTGACAAGGAGGTCGACCTGCATGGGGACCACTGCATGGGCGCCGACTTTAGGGTGGCGCCGACTTTAGGGAGGTCGACTTGGGAAGTCAACCTGCGGAAGGCGTCGTTTTGGTGACGCCAACTTGGGGCAACTGACTTGGGTGGTTGGCTGACAGGATTGCTGGTCGACCTGGTGGTTGGTCGACCAGGCCTGCTGGTCTACTTGGTGGTGGTCGATCAGGCGTAATGTCAACCTGGTGGTCGACAGAGGAGGGGCCGACATCAACCTTGACTCAAGACGCCGAGTAGTTGGGCGTTGAGTAGCAGGGTGTCAACTTGGTGACGCCAACTTCGGGTAGCCGACTTAGGTGGTCGGCTGACAACTGCACTGGTCGACATGGAGCTGGTCGACCAGGAGTGCTGGTCGATATGGAGCTCGTCGACCAGGGGCATGGTCGACCTAGTGAGGTCGACTTCAGGTGGTCGTCGACTTGGGAGGTCGACGGGCACATACGGGAGCAGCTGGTCGACGTGGTTGCCCGGTCGACTAGGTTACCTAGGTGACGAGGTTCTGCGGAGAAGTGCGTCGGTCGCCCAGGCAAAGTTGGCGAGTCCGACCTCGTTGGTGGTATCCTGAGGTCGACATGGCGGATCAGGTGGAGTCGTCAGCACAAGGACGAGTTGGTGTGTGCGTTGTGCAGGTGACGAGGCTCAGCCCACCAATCATCTGCGAGCACCTGCGAAGCGGGTGCACTGCTGTTCTGCGGGAGCAATGCTGGCATGCCGTCAACCTGCGACATTGGCACGTTGTTGCACTGCTGGAACGCGGTCGACCATACTGCGCTGGCAGTCGACCGACCTGAATGCTAGCTCTGATGTAGTCTTGCCATGCCAACTTCATTGTACCATTGTTGTCAACTTTCTCTAGTGAAACTCTTGCCAATTCTCCCCATGAACTAGCAAGCAGTGTGTGCACTAAGAAAACGACGAAGGACTAACGAACGCAGAGATCACACGAGCACCCGTGCCTAGCCTGTAGTCTAGCTTCCGTTGTAGTAGTTATCTCCGCAATTATCACAGCCCAGATGATCATAGTCGAGATGATCACAGCCCAGATTATCACAGCCTAGATAATCACAGTCGAGATGATCACAGCCTAGATGATCACACCGGAGATGATTACTGGTCGCTCCACTGCCGATTCATCCATACCCCCGCCTTTCTTCCCTTCCATCCATGTCTCGCCCGCGCACTGCTCTTCCAGGCCCATCCCACCTCTCCCCCTCCCTCTCTACCCCAACTGCCACCTCTCTACCCCAACTGCCCTCTCTCTACCCCAAACGGCCCCCTTTTGTTGCAATTGCAAGTTAGGGAGCCTTTAAGGTTGACTGGTGGGGTGAATGGCATTGAAGGGGGAAATGGCTATGGGAGAAAAGGGCATCTTGCGATTGCAAGTCAGGGCGCTTCGAATACACCTTAAAGGTGAGCCCTGGCCTTACCAACCCCCCATTGCAGGCACGTCACAGTGCCAACCTCTCACCTCAATGTGCCTCTCTTTCTCCTCTTGGCTCCGCTTCTCCCTCCCCCGCCTCTGCCTCATGCTGAGCCCTGGCGTTTCCACGTCCCTTGCAGTCACTTCAT